AGGAGGAGAAGAAGAAGAAGAAGAAGAAGAAGAAGAAGAAGAAGAAGAAGAAGAAGAAGAAGAAGAAGGAGAAAGAGAAGGAGAAGAGGAAGAGGAGGAGGAGGAGGAGGAAGAAGATGAAGAAGCCATCCCAAAACTACAGCAAAGACTGGAGGATTTCATGAGGGATGGGTGTGGGAACTTCTGGGATGAGGAAAGATCACAGGAAGCACTGCCAAGCTGAGGACGGAGGCAGAGCTGCAAGACAGCTGTAAGAACTTCACTGTAGTGATGAGACTCAGGACCCTAAGATGCCAGGCAGAGGACCAGGGAGGCCCGGGGAACCTAACCTCCCTCCCTCTGCTGGTCTTTGTTCTCTGAAGCTCTCACATGCGAAACAAATATTTAATCCAAGTTGGTTGAGGTACAGCAGTTTAAGGTAAAGACTTGGAACAGGAACTAGTCCTTTTAAAGTTTCCCCACTTGATCTGGGTCAGGTGGCAAAATGCTTTTTGTTTTGCTGCTGCTGGTGCTGCTGCTATAACCCAATCCCAGGTTCACGCTGGAGTTCTTCACGTTGACACTTTCAGTTGGGTCACGTTTCATTTGTTTGCACTTCCGTTCCATGCACGAGATGCTTTCTTTAAAGGAAAAAGAAAAACTTTTCCTCAGTGTAATTAATCATCTTGTACATCACTTATTTGCACGAGAAAGCAACTGGTAAATATAGTGTGCACGCAATGAAATAAGAACATCGGATGAGAAATAGCTACGGGCAGCTGCAGAAGGCGCCGCACCGCACAGTTGTTCAGTCTGTTTGAAGAAATCCATGAGTAGGACTTCGATTCCGTACCTATGTGTGTCAGGATGCGAAGGAATGAGCCCAGATGATAGGCACGTGTGCAATCTGCTTTTCCCTTTTGTGCATTTCTGTTCTTTGCTCCTGGAAACTTCGGAGGCAGGGCTTGAGTGGGAATGAGATGAGAAGGCAGTAGATGTGGGGCAGTGAGAATTGTTCCTGCTCTCCATGGGATGGTGTCATGTTTTCATTTGGCTGGCAGCTTTTCCTGTTAGCATAGCCCAGGAGACCTGATAGAACGCATCCACCACGCTGTCTCTCTGTCATTACCGAGTGCAGGAAGCAATGTAACCCACCTCCTCTGGGATGTGGGAGCAGATTGGAGAGTGAAGAGACATATCAGTCAGATCAGAGTAACCAGCTGGCTCCCAGTGCCTGCGTCATTATCACAACTCTAGCTCCAAGCTTTTTCCATATGGCTGGTGCCTGAGGAAAAAAATAAAAAAGCTATCTCCTTCTCCATCCCCATCTGCAACACTGCTTACTCATTCAGTCATTCAAGCCATTCATTTAAAGCTCCGTGGCTGTGTTGTGCTTTGCTTTATGGCTTCAGATCTTCAAAGAGATTGTAACTGAAGATTCCTCAGGAGAGAGGATTCTAGACACACCTTGATCCCAGGTACAAAGTTGTCCTTCAGACTAGCTAACTGGAGGCTGGATTGACCTATACCCTTTCTCTTTCCCCATCTCCTGAGTTCATAGAGGTAGGGGCCTACCTCTCCAACACACATCCTGCTACCATCTTGGGCTTCTTTCTCATCCAATTGTATGTTCTTATGAGTAACTACTAACAGAAGAAAGCTTTATCAAACCCCATATTATAGACTTGGGGGGGGGGAAATGCTTGCAAAGTCTGTGTTCCTCTAGAGAAGAATTGAATTAAAAAATCATCAAGGCTAATGGGAAGAGAGCAGAACCAGCCAAAGAGATGACCCTAAAGTTCCTGCTGTGGTTTAAAAATGTCCCCCCAAACGAATGTGTCAGAAATGTAATCACTATTTTTCAGTTAAGAAGTCAGACCTGTAAAAGGTGATTAGTCTGTGAGAGCTTTTCCTTTAAGCTTAACTTCTCTCTCTCTCTTTTACACACACACACACACACACACTCACACATACTCACACACGTGCATTTTTACCCTTCTGTCATGTGATGACCCAGGAAGAAGTCCCTCACCAAATATCAGCCCCTCTGTTTGGTTTCTGTTCATTACAAATTACCCATTCTGGTCTTCTGTTATAGAAACACACCACACACACACACACACACACACACAGGATATCTTTCCCTCTTCATCTGCCTGCTAATCAGGGAAAGGGTAAGAGGGAGGTGCAGAAGAGAGAACCAAAAGCTCAGCGCTCGGAGAGCAAGTGAAAACAAAACAGAGCTAATTTCTAGGGCGAGGAACATGAGATCTCGGGTTCTCCATGTCACGCGGGCTAGTCTGCTATGGAAAAATGTCATGCGGTGAGTGGAACAACAGCTTCTAAAGATGCCACACTCTGTGCCACAGAACCTGTACATATACTAGACTACATGGCAAAGGGAAGTCATGGTCAAAAGCAGAATTGAGGTTTCTCACTGGATGGTGTTCGCGTAGGGAGAGAAGCCTGAGTTATGTAACTAATATTGTCAACAGGGTCCTTAAACCTGGCAGAAGGGGGCAGAAGAGAGTCAAAGAAAGAGATCTGGCAACATGGGAAGGTACAGGAGCTGTAGACTGGCATGAACCAAGGATTGCAGGTGGTCTCTAGAAAGCAGACGAGAAAAATGGATTCTATCCTAGGGCCTCCACAAAGGCGTGCACCCTGTCCAATGTATAGATGTTATATATCTCAAGCTGGCCTTGGACTTGCAATGTTGCCCAAGCTGACCTTGAATCCATGATCTTCCAGCCTCATGCATTAGGTTCACATATGTATGCCACATGTCTAGTTCAAGAACTTAATTTTAACTCAGTAAAATCTGCAGCAGACTGCAGATATACACAACTATAAGATAATAAAGTATACTTCTAAATCAAAGCACTTGTGTCTGTATCCATACAGAACTCTTAAATCCAACAGTCTGGTGAAAGAGTATATAGAAGGTTGGAATGGGCACCTCACCCTGGATAATAGGGATCGAAATCAGCACGGGAAAGGATGCCTAGCATTGGTAGCCATTGAGGCTCTACAGATTCACACCACAATGAAGCAATCCACAAACACTGATTGTTTTGCTTTGGTAATTGTTTTGAGGACATGGAGCACTTGAAACCCTTTCAGACTACCTGTGGAAATGGCAAATGGTACAATTCATTTTATAAAACAATTTTGTAGTTTAAAGAAAAAACATTTGATACATATTCAGACAGAATCCGAGTCCTTGGCATATAAACCAAAGGAATGAAGGTGTGAAACGTTACAAATAATTGTGACAACCTTATGTGTAATGCTCAAGAAATTGTAAATACTCCAATTGTCATGCCTATTAGTAAATGAGAAGATGAAGACATTGTGGTTTATCCATGTAATAATCTATATTTGTAACAACATGGAAAACCTTCAAAATTGTGATAAATGAAAGAACAGAGACAAGAAAGGAGTACTTTTTTTTCCATTACATGAACTTCTAGTAAATGGAAGGAATCTACAGTAACAGTAAGAAGCATACCATTGTGAGTTCCAGTTCAGTGTGGAGGAGGAACAGAATTTTACAAAGGCACAGGGAAACTTTTAGAAGTGATAGGTAAGTTCCTTATTTTAATTTTGTTGAAGATTTCTAAGGAGTCTAAATCTTACCGAATTGTATACTTTAAATATGTTTATTATATGTTAAAAGTACCTTAGTACAGTTATAATAGAAAGGATTGTCTTAAATGTAGTGTGTAAGCAATATTAAACCACCAGGGGCTAAGGCAGTAGGGCATTCAAGCA